GGTGAATCTTTCTCTTTCCACTCCTACTCACATAGGCCATGTGATAAATCATCTCATTTTCCTAGCAGTAAAAAGAAAACTAAATGTCGCCAAAGAAGACAAACGCATGAAAAGATATTCAACATCATATGTCATTAGGGGACTGAAAATTATTCCATACCTATCACACTGGCCAAAATCTAGAACACTGACAACATCAAACGCCAGTGAGGATATGGAGCAATAGGAGCTTTTTCATTCATTGCTGGTGGGAATGCAAAATGGTACAGCAACCTTAGAAGATAGTTTGGCAAATTTTTTTTTAACAAAACCAAACATGCTCTTACCATGTGACACAGCATTCATGCTCCCTTGTATTTACCCCCAAAATGAAAATTCATGTCCACACAAATACCTTCATATGAATATACATAGCAACTTTGTTCAAAAATGCCAAAACTTGGAAGTAACCAAGATGTCCTACAATAGGTAGATGAATGAATAAATAAACTGTTGTACAGACAATAAAATACATTTTAGTGGTAAAAAAAAAAAAAAAAAAAAAGAGCTATGAAGCCATACAAGGGAGGAAAGTTATGGAGGAAAGTTAAATACACATTACTAAGTGAAGGAGGTCAATCTGAAAAGCTACATACTATATGATTCCAAATATATGACATTCTAGAAAAGGAAAAAAATATGGAGACAGTAAAAAGATTATTGGTTGCTAAAAGTTAGGGGGGAGAAAGGATGAATATGCAGAGCACAGACGATTTTTAGGGCAATAAAACTATTTTGTATGACACTCTCTAATGGTAGACACGTGATTATACAGTTATCAAAACCCACAGAATATACAACTCAAGAGTAAACCTTAATGTAAACTATGGACTTTGGGAGATAATGGTGTGTTAATTTAGGTTCATGGATTATAATAAATGTACCATTGCAAGAAAGGTTGTGCATGTATGGGGAAAGGGAGTATATGGGAACTCTGTACTTTCCACTAATTTTTCTATGAACCTGAAGGTGCTCTAATAAAAATGTTTATTAAGTATAAAAACAAGAGCTTATTTGTGGAATATGATACAAAATAGGGGTTCCTGAAGGTAATATTTTCATATTTATGTTATAAATAATGCAGGTATAATCTTTTTATCCACAATGAAAAATGTTTTTTTGTTTTACTATGTAAATAAATCATGATTTTTTATTAAATAAAAAGAAAAATTATCAAAAAAAAAAGGAATAATTACCTATCATTCTGACACTTAAATAGCCTCTATTAAAATCTTGACAACAATGTTTTCATGTATTTTGCATGCATATGTAGTATAATTTAAAAGTAAGATTATATATTTTAACCTTTATTAAAAATTATAATATAGTAAAAGGTAAACAGTTCATCAGGTTTAAAAATATATCCATAAACTTTCAGGAAAATATATTTAATAATTATTAATGGAAAGGGTTCACAGGAGAATTGTATTTGAGAATATTTTTGTTCTATTCTGTTTTACAAAAACATGGCAAGATTTTAGTAATGAGAAAAATGAATATTTGGAAGGGAAAAAAAATCAATAAAATATTCTAGAATTCAACCAAATCAGCAGTCCTAAAGCAAATCTTACCTTAGTATAGATAACTCCCATATTAGATTATATCTGGTGTTCCCAGGAACTATGCAGTGCCATAAGAGTACAAGATGTAAACATTCAATGTGCTAGAAGTAGTGCCAACTAAGAGATCCCTTCCACAGAAGTTGGATTGTATTGCTCTCTTGATCCCTGTCCTGATTTTGCTGAAAACTAGGGAGAACATATGCATCCTTTCCAGAAGTGTCAAGACAAAAGGTGTGATGGTTCCTGACCATCACTCTTTCTTACTTCTTACATTCTTTCTTTCCTTCCTAACAAAATATGACTAAAACAGCTTAAGGAAGCATCAGATATGAGGGTGTGGGGCAGGTGGAAAGGGAACAACTAAGCTTCCTATGAGATAAATATGTGGCAAATTGCTTTCTCCCTCTGAATCTCTTTCCTTTTCGCTTCAATGGGTGTGACTTTCTCTCATACTATATCCCTTCTAAAATTTATGCTTGCAATATAGGAAGTAAAAAAAGAGACTATTTAAACTAACAAAGCACAGATAACAAAGAATATCTCATAGTCTAGCCCAGATTACTAAACTTTTACAATGGAATTTTAGGCCAAAGCCTAGTTAGTAACTGCTTTGTTTGCTAATATTCCTTATACCTATATTTTCCTTGGTATCCTTTGAGGAAAAGGGTTGACTATGCCAAAGATTTCAAATATTCTTGAGTGTCCCAGAAAAATCAATAATAATCTAGATTTAGTCTCTAGATTTCCCTAAAACCCATTATAATAATATACAAGTTTCCCTAAAACTTGATCTGGTTACCACCATAATTCTGTATGTCAGCCTATCCTTCAAGAGAAGCAACCATCCTCTGACCAGTAACTGTAAGTCATGAATCAATAATGTTCCTAGCAATTTTTTTGAATCCTTACTTTCTTCCATTCTGACTGTGTTTTCAATAGATTCCTTCCTCTTGGCTCCTGAATTTTGGTTCTGTCTCTCATTTAAAGTTTATTCTTGCACCATAAACTTTGGGTGTTTATATGAACTGGCTTTGAGGCACTACACTTCCTGAATGATTGTAACGGGAGCTCACTCCTCTAACTCTTTCCATTAATATGGGAAGTTTTAAACCTTTCAGACAAAACACATTTCACCCCCAAACAGAAGGAGATTCAGCCATTGATTACTTTCACTAAATACTGAAGCTTGAATTCCATTCTTGACTAATCCATTCCATTACATTGCTAAGGGAATCTTTTTGTAAAATGAACTCCTAATATTAAATGCTAGTATTTTCTCACCTCTTCCCTTTTACCTACTCCCTACCTCTTTCACTGTTTATTGGATCCTAGGTTCACTTAAGCACTCTATAGTATCAATTGTCTCACTATAGTTTTTAATAAACCAAGCTCCAAGTCACTAAAGACTAGATACATGAGCAGTAAAAATAGTAAAATAATAGTGTATCAACTAAGTAAGCTGAAGAGGAGAGTGCAAGTAAAGCCAACAGAAGATGGAACAATTTTATACAGAGTATTTAGAGATGAACCTTACAATTAAAATTCATTTCAATTACTTTAAGAAACTGAGCTGAAGATAACTTCTATAATAGTCTATGAATGGAGCTATAAACAGTGAAAAAGCATAGGAAAATGTATATATTTATAAAATATGAATAGTTATTAATAAAATGACATTAATAATAATGTAGTTAGCAGAATTATCAATAATGTCAATGACCTTTAGAAAATCTATAACAAATGTATTCTACCAAAAGATTTATAACATTCAAAATACTTCTAAATCCCAATATACAATGATATATTCTATGTAACTACATAGATATGAAATAAAATAACCTTTGTAATATGAATATTTTACTCCTAATTGATGCCCATAATAGTGACTTACCATAACATATATGGATATATGAATATATAGATATGTGTATATATATATCTGTATAAGTATGTGTATGTATATATACTTACATCTGTATAAGTATATACATATATCTGTATAAGTATATATCTGTATAAGTATCTCTGTGTGTGTATATTATATCCAAATTGGTTACAAGAGTCAGTGAAAGTCTCCCCTGTATAAAGCATATAAACAGCAAAGGACATGCCTAAAATCAGTGTTTATATTCTACATGGAAGGCCAAAAGACATTTCACATGAACTTTATCGTTTTATAAAGCATACTATCATCTGGAGCAAATTAATACAGTTGGCACTGAGTGCTCATGAGGGAAAAGTTTTGTGTAGGATACCTTTGCCTTTTAAACTCATATTTTTATTTTATAACTTGTGAGCTTTAAGGGCTTGAGGACATTTCTGTGCTATATTTAGAACACATGACTTCAATTACATTGAAATCAGACTAATGACAGTCTGGACCTTTTTGTAGACCCTCCTAATCATGTTAATATAATAGAAATATTTGTAGTTCAGATTACTCAGGAATAGGTCTGCATATGAAGTTTATTTATCACAAACATAGTGCTTTACAAATTATAAAAATTTCACTCTTGTTAATTATGCTAGAATATCATCTTCATTTCTACCATTACCTAATGTCCAAATCAAAACAAAAAGCACAAACTCTGGTTTCAGAAGACCTGAAGATAAGTCCTAGCAATGTTACTTAACTGTGTGACTTTGGTAAGTCAGTTTCCCTGTTTATAAAAATGAGATAAAAATACCTATCTTACAGTGTTGTGGAGAATAAATTACATATCACATACAAAATATCTAGCACAGTGCCTGGTACACAGCAGGCACTCAATAAATATGTTTTTTATATTCTATTATTATTATTACTATTCATATTATTATTTTGTGTTACAGATGTCTCCTTTTTTCCTCATTGACTCCCCCCACCTCGCTCCCTCCCCCTCCCCAGGCCTTCGCTGCACTATTATCTGTCCACGGGTTATGCATATATGCATATAAGTTCTTTGGTTAATCTCTTCCTACCCTACTCCATTCCCTAATTGTTTCTTTTTATTTTCACTGTGTCCTCAAAGCGTATATAATTTAGCACAAAATAATGAGTATTATGCTGTATGTAGAATTATTACCCTTTAATAAACTAAATATTTGTTTTAAACCACTAAGAAATAATTTTATATTACTATTAACAGAATTAATAAGAAAAATATAAGTATATAAATATAGATACAAAGCACAAATTATAAAATGGTTGTATTAAGAGTAATTAATACATCACAAAATTATATTTGTACCACATTATTAAATGACTTTTCTCACATCAAAAAAATCACAAGCAGAATATTAACAATAAAATATATTTTTAAAAGACTGAAGAAATACTTACCAATGTTACATAAATTATAATTATAGTATCTTAAAAATATATATTTCAAAGAGAAGTAATAAACTAATTATACTTACATGTCTCCATCGTGCAAGCTTTCCTGTTATACTTGTTTCAGGCTTAAAAATGAGATCCTTAAAAACTCCATCTTCATATCTTTTGTGTACGTAGATCCATTTTGTTTCACATTCGCTAATAATTTTTTTTTGATGTTTTTTATACAAAAAGAGGGAGCTGAGTATAGGGGGAAAAGTAGTCATTTAGTATTTTAACAAAAAAATGACAAAGAAACTACATCTTAGAAAACATGGTGGTAAGTCTAATGTAGTAGTTGTTTTTATATTAATACTATATAAAACTATTTAGGCACTAAGATTTTTCCATCAACATTCATCAAGAGATGAATGCTGAGAAATCTGTTGTGATATGAATCCACAAACAATTCTAGACTTATATCTGACTCTGTATTTTGTAATGGCAGAAAGAATATGACTATGTTGTTCAGAAAAATACAAGGTAGTCTATCCTCATTTTTCCTTTCCAGTGAAGCAATATTTTTTTTTATTTCTATCTAGGAGAATTACTATAGAGCAGTAATATAAGCCACAAAATAATTTTAAATTTTCTATTAGCAGTACTTAAAAAATGTTAAAATAAGTGAGATTAACTTTAATATTGTTTTATTTAACCCAATATATCCAAAATATTACCTGATAAATAATATGAGTTTGATAAACAAACAAACTCATATCATGCTTAACAGTGAAGTTTTGAATGTTATAAAACTTCTGGCCCTTCACAAAAGTTTTTTCGAGTTTTCTTCTTCCTGATCCCAGAAGGGGACTTCTTAGCTGTCTTTTCTCCTGGGCCTCTTTGGTAAACTTCAAGATGGTTTACAGTTTAGCTTTCTGCTCTTGTTGAGATACCAGCCTCCTCTTAATTATTTATCTGTTACTGAGGGTATGGGCGATCAGGGCTCTACTATTCTCTACCTGTTGCAGCTGGGTTAGAGCTTCTGCCCTACAAGTGAGGGCTAGAAGAAGAGGAGAGCCCAAGGCCCCTTAGCTACTCTTGCCTGGAATAGAGTCTCTAGAATATTTTCAAATTTATTTTTTAAAAGGGTCAGACTATGGAGAAATTTATCTCTCAAAATATTGTTGAAAACAATAATCAGCTGGCAACTAGTGGAGGCTGATAATAACTATGATATCAAAAGAAGTTCAGACGGCTTAACAGAGGAATCAGAAAAAGAGACAATCAAAGAGAGCCCTGCTATAATCATTGTCATCCCAAGGGTGGCTGCACCTGGCCAATGGTATGTACTCGAAGGAGCAATATCATAGTTGTCCAATGCAGAGGAAATGGACTTCACTAAAATAGTCTAGCCTAGTCATTAAATTAACAAGCAAAAACCAAGGCCTGGGTGAAGAGATCAGTATCCAGAGTTGTTACAATATATTATCTAAAATGTCCAGTTTTCAACAAAAAATTATGACAGTGTAACCAATACAGATAAAAAGAGCTGCCTCTGAAACTGCCTTTGAAAGGGCACAGATGATAGACATAACAGATAAAGACTTCACAGCAGCTACTATAAATATGTTTAAAGGAAATAAACCTTAAATAAGTAAAGAAAGGTATAATAATGATGCCTTTTCAAATACAGATTATCAATACACAGAAATTATGGGAAAAAGAAAATTCTGCAATTAAAATGTATAATAACTGAAATAAAAATTTTGCTAAAGTAGTTCAACAGCAGATTTTAATTGACTGGAAAAAAGAATCAGAAATCTTGAAGATTGATAAAAACAAAGCTGACAGAGAAAGAAAATATTGAAGACAAGTGACTAGACCCACAAAGAAATGTAGAGTATCAAGTCCACCCACATAGGCATAACGGAAGTAACAGAGAACAGATAAAAATATATATATTAGAAGAACTAATGTCTAAAACTTTCTGAAATCTGAACAAAACATTAATCTACACCTCTAAGAGCTCAACAAATTACAAAAAGAATAAACACAAAGATTCACATTCAAATACCTCATAGTAAGACTACGGAAACCCCAAAATAATGAGAAAAACTAGAAAAGAGCAAGAGAAAAATGACTAGTTCTTAGTTATTCTACTAAATAAGATAGATCCAATTATTAAAGCTTCAGTTCAAGTATCATCTCCTCCTAAAAGTATTCTCTGCCCTTTTACAAGCCAAGTTAATTACATCTATACCCAGTCTACTCTAAGAAAATGCTTAATTGCAATCAGACTTTCTGATTTTGTTTAATAAACTGTCCTCTGAAGTAGGCAGTCAAAATCCATAGGTCACAGATACAAAGGTTCCTGTTAGAGTAGCTTAAATTTAAGTGCCATGTGTTGCATGTGATTTGTTTTGAATTGCGTATTTTTTAAAGGAGACTTGTTTCCGGAATGTCAACAGAGGCTTAAGAGAGTCGGACTGTACTCAACTGAATCCATAAGAGAAGGCAGACAAAAATGATCCTGCTATGATAGCTTGAATCATCAGGGCATGGTACCCAGGCGACAAGACTGTCATTACAATCTGAATTCAGTGCTGCTCCTGCTCCATGTGCAGAAAGAACCACACAAGGTTAGAATGAGCCTATTCACCTCTGCATGCCATTAGTTTGCTAATGAGTCTAATGAGGAGAAGATGGCAATAAAGCTTTCTTGTGTGTCTATGTAGAAGCTCACTCATTTTGAAAGAAAACAAATATATAATACACATTTGTTCTTGCACCACTTCTAAAAATGGAAAACTAGTTTCTAAAAAGACTAAGATATGTCTATTTTTTTATTCTGAATTTCAAAAAAAATCAAAACATTTGTAAAGTGTTAGTAAAATTAAAATTATTCTGTGTAAACTTAAAAAAAATAAATGATTCAGTCTAATTCTGACAACTTAAGTAGAGGCATTATTAAACTTAAGATATTATTATAAGATCAGATATAATTTATTTTATTTATGTTAAATTATTAAAATTGTTTACACAATCATAAAATATTTTCAATATTTTAATAATATTTTAACAAAGATTTTTTTTTTGGATAGCAAATAGTAGAGGAAAGCATATCTGTGTTCCAAGAGAGTATTAAACTAAGTAAAGTTAATTTTAAAGCTGCAAATTTTAGATAACATTGGCTTGAATCTGTATGTTGTCTTTACAGATTATGATTAATGACCCGAACCATATACAAAGATAGATTTTATTTTACATTATTTATATCTGGCAAATTCACCTTACTAGAATATTTTCATAGGAATGTTGACCTAAATTTATTGTTTAAAATAGGATTTACTTTGAAATAAATGTATGCTACTTCTGCCTTTAATATACCTATTTTATAAGGTAAGAATTAACTTAATCTTTATCATATATAAATAATGTAATCACTGTTGAACAAAATCAGCATTCAGAATTACATAATTTACTATGTAATTAATAGACTGTTATAATTCCATCTCAAAGTTCCAAAATGAGGACTCAAAATGTACTCTGCAAGTAACAGTCAATTACTAGCCAAATAATAGGCATATTACTGAAAAGTTGCCTCTAATGCTTTTATATTATGAAATCATGTTAAGTACATTATGAATTCCTTATATTTAAAGAAAAGCTTTTATGTGAATAATTTGAAATGAGGCTAATAATTTCCTGATTCATATACATTGTGATATTACTATGTTGAGTATTATTTGACAATTTGTACCCCTTTAAAAACTAGTGGAGAATTAATAGTGTACATAAAAAAGATGCATTAATAGACGTTAATGTTCAAAGACTTTGGCATAGAATCAACTATGACCTATTAATTCTTTACCCTGTTTGGGGGCCTTCAAGTTAGTAAATCTTGTTTGTTCTCTTCTCCCCCTAATAAGGTGCCCTTAAGTTTGATGAACCAATTGGTCACTCAGTTCCAACCTATAGTCAAATTCCCTAGATTATAATCAGCATCTCTTCCTTTCACAGGGAGTTTTATTTGCAAACATTTGGCATGATTTCAGGATATCCTCATATCAAATAATTGCAAGGCAATTAACAATATAGATTTTAAAGTTAGTTATCAGATCAGAATCTACATATAACAAATTTCTGTAGTCTTGTATAACATGATGCACTCTTATCCCTCATATAAATTTTATATTTCAGGAAAACTAAATTGACATTTTTCTACCAACCTAAAAATTAGAGGATAAAAGTTTTTCTTGCTTTCTTCAACACAGCTCCAAGCAAACCTTGAATTCAACTCCAAGACTTGTAACATACATAACAAAGCCAACAATGAAATTATCCATCACATCAAAAATTCGATTAGAATTGAAATTTTCTCCTTGTCTTGAGTATAGCCTTCTATATCAGGAGTCAAGAAACTTTTTCCATAAAGAGGCAGATAGTAAATATTTTAGGGTTTGCAGTGCATATTTTGTTTTGTTGAATATGAACCCTCCCTATGACCTCGATAGCTGTCCTTACTTAGGTTTAGTAAGCTGCCAATCTGATCACAGTATTTTATTCTAAAAATAAAAGTGTACCTCCCTTGTACCATATCATCTGTTTTAAAAAACTATTACTTTTTTTTTTTTAAAAGCATTAATCATAATATATTTTTAATTTAGGCAATATATATTTAAAAGCTATATACAAAATTTCAAGCAGTTTAAGTGAACAAATTTCAAGCAAGGTGCGAAACATTTGGGCATGGGAAACATTTCTCATGGCTAGAAATAGATATATGAGAAGACTAATTGCTTGGACCTTTAGGCTGTGGGAATCCACACAGGCAACCCTCAGGGCAGTATTGTATGTTTCCCAGTTCTTTCTGTTTTGCTTTCCCATAGATGAATCCAGAAATACTTTTCTGGTTCTAGCTTCCACAGTCTCTCCATTTATTGATGTATTCATCTATTAAGCAAATATTTTTGAGCACCTAACGTGTGTCAAGCATTATGTTATTTGCTAGAGATATAGAGGATGCAGTGTATGTGGAGATATAATCATACAGACAACTGCAATAGAGTATGGTAAGGCTTGTGATAATAAAAGCATGTGATGCACACTGTAGGGACAAATATCCCAGTCATTTATTTGCCTTTAGCAAATTGGGAGCAATTGGAGGATTTTACGATGGTGAATACAATTAGGTTAATATTTTGAAAGGATTACTCAGTGCATGCTATGGTAAATATTATTGGGAGGGAGCAAGAAATCCAAGCAAAAAGTTTCCCATGAGTCAGATAATGCAGAGAGCACATGATATGACAACAGCAACAAAGGTGATATTTTAAAAAATGATAGCTAATAAGAATGTAATATCCATATTTTCCAGGTGTTATGAGCTTTATATTCATGATCTTAATTCTCACAAGCAAACAGCCTAGTAGTACCGCTATTAGCCCTGGCTCTCTACCATTTAACATATGAGGAAACTCAGGCTCAGCACAGTGAAGTAATGTGCCTAATGGAACAGCATTTTAAAAAGAGAAATAATTCAAATTGGTCTGTCTTGAACCACTCTGATATATTTTTATTACGGACTTCTCTGCCCACAAAGCTCACTTAAATTCTGTTCACACATGCTGAATTTTCAGATACTGTTTCCATGCACAAGGTATTTATCTCATGTTACATGTATATCACAGAAAGTCTTGATTTTAAGAGTGAAAAACTCAATCCTAGGAGCATAAACTAAAGACAAGTCCCTTTAATTAGATGTTTATTTCATACAAAATTCACACAATGTAAAGAAACATAAGAGACAGAAATACTTTAAATAAATATGCACCTGTCAGAAGCTGCTTGATCCTCTTGCACATCTTTTATTCCAAATAATTTTACTTGTCAATACTTGTGAGCCCCCTTTCCTTGGTTTGAGTATATGGAACCTCTTCTTCAGCAGTTGCAGGCCCTGTACTCTGGTCAGGTTGGCTCCTTGGCCCCCATACTTCTCTATCAGAGCTACTGCCATCTATGGTTAGCCATGCGTGCTAACGCAGAACATTACCTCTGCCTTCCACAGAGTGCGGAGTGTCATTTCAGTGCAGCTTCCTATGTGGGTTTCTCAGAGATTGTCATTGCCCAACTCTAGATCTATTTTAATCCTACTTATATTTTAGGGCCAAACTTCATTTCTATCTTCTAAACTCTTTCATTTTGCATCTGAAAGTGAGCTATATAAAAATGTTCCTTTAATTTTTCATATGTTTGATGTTTGGCATGACTAATATATATAAATTGATGACAGAGTATCCTATCAAGTTCAGTGTTCAGAGATTCTGCCAAGAAAAGTGTCCCTCTATATGCAAATGTCAGTTACTAGAAACAAATGCAAGGAACAAAGAGAAAGAAAAAGTCAACCAAAAGATAATGTAGATTGATATTGTAGCAGATGTTTCACCAAAATTATCTTCATAACCAAACTAAATATGAAACCCTCATACATATTTCATGGCTTATATTTCTATTGTATCCCATTACATGAGAGAAATTGAATATATGTTTTAGACTAATGTTTTTAACTTTAATAGAAAAACTCCCAGAATTATTCAATTAGTGATTAATAAAAACTTTATTAGTTATATGTCAATTTAAAAGAAAAAATAAAAGTATCACATTTTTATTATGTGAAATATTATAAGGTATTACTATCGAGTCTGTGGTATTTTCCTTAAAATTGTTCAAGTCATCTATAAAATACCATTTTGATAGGGAATGCAAAAATGTGTATTACTGGAGAAATGCCTTTTTATTATTGATTTTCTTATCATCTTATTTTAATATTCAAATAGTAAAGAAAATAAAACATACCTCAAACCTTTTCTAACCAGGAAACCTCGTATCCATCTTTGAATAATCAAAATTGGTGAATTATGAGCCATGATTGTATTAATTTTTGAAATAACAAATTTGATATTATTAATTTCATCCTCATAGATTGATCCCTGTATAAAAAATATGTTTAATAATTATATTTCATGAAATTATTTCCAAAAGTCATTTTAAACTTGGTAGTCTAATGGTAAAAACTACTAAAACATTCACAGGTTTCTTAAAGGCATAGCAGTTGAATAATATAAAGTTTCACATATATTTTATTAGATCAGTAAATCAAGAATTAGTAGCACCAAATAATTTCAATTATCTAACAAAATGCAAGATCCATGGCAATAACTTCCAGATTCTTCTCCCAATCTGATATCATAGATATCAATTTAAACCATAATCATGTTGATCTCTGAAAAGTAGTGACATGAATAGTTATCCAGTGAAACTCTAAAAGTATTCTGTAGATCCCCATCAAGAAAATTGACATGTTGGATTCATAAAGTAATTTACAGTAGTTCAAACTTTTGTTGCAGATGAACTACAATGTTGGACACTTTTATTGGAACATAGGACATTCCACTGGGGAAAGACATTCTCTATTGGCTTTAAAGAAATTATCTTTAAGATATCTGTTCCCGCCCGGCCGGGCATGGCTCAGTGGTTGAGCGTCGACCTGGGATCCAGGCAATCGGGAATCGATTCCCGGTCAGGGCACATGCCCGGGTTGGGGGCTTGATCAATGACTCTCTCATCATTGATGTTTCTGTCTCTCTCTCCCTCTCCTTTCCTCTCTCTGATATCAATAAAGATATATTTAAAAAAGAAAAAAAAAAAAGATATCTGTTTCTTCCCGGCTGGCATGGCTCAGCAGCTGAGCATGGACCTATGATCCAGGAGATCTGGGTTCAATTCCCGGTCAGGGCACGTGCTTGGGTTGCGGGCTCAATCCCCAGTGGGGGGCGTGCAGGAGGCAGCTGATCAATGACTCTCATCACTCATGGTTCTATCTCTTTCTCTCTCTCCCTTCCTCTCTCTGAAATCAATAGGTAAATACATACATTTTTTTTTTAAAAAAGATACCTGTTTCTACAAATTATTTAGATTTGAAAACATAAACTCCATATATATTATTGATCATTTTACTGGTTAGTAATAAAACCAATTTAATTATGTTTTGAATGTAAGGATTCTGCCTTAAAAACCTAAAATTTGTATTGTTTGTGAGGCACCTACCCTGAAAGTTACCAAACCCATCACATTAAAAACACACACCTTTTCTGCCTATACACTCAATCAGCTATGTACTGCTAAAACAACAAAAAATCACAAAGCCTTGCAGATTAGTGCTACTTCATGCCACCCCAAAATATGATTGTAGGAGATCAAGACATGCCATCTCCAAATATGCTCCTTTGGCATATTAATTATTTTGAGTGGTCGACACTTGAAAAATAGCAAAAACGGGGACGGGGTTTTGCTGAACTTTCCTTATCTGCCTAAAGACAGATCTCCCAAAAGGCATTCAAAATGAATCATCTCGTCAAGAGTTTCATCAACCAGGGAAGATGGACTCTTATTAAAGGAGATGAAATTAAAAGATCAGAAGGAGGAGCTTTTGAGAGACCACTACACCCAGATTAATTTTGTCACCAACTCCCATCTGTTCTTCTAAGGGCCCATCATTCATCTTTCCTAGAAATCACTTACTCTCCTGAGAAGCCCCATGTTTTTAAGCATTAGTTCTGAGTCACTTTGGGAGTTATTCATTTTTCCCTGGATATTTCTTATGTATACATGAGGTAGGCGTTAATAAACTTCTTTGTTTTTCTCTTGTTAATCTGTCTTTTATTACAGGGGTCTCAGCCAAAAACTCAGAAGGGTAGAGGGAAAATTGCTTTTCCTTCCCTATAGAAGCTTGGGGGCAGGGAGGCTGAGTGCATAAGAAAAAAGTGAGGAAGAATACAGTAGGAAACTTAGATGATAGACTTAAGTGGTCGTGGTCAGATGCTGCAGTTGTCACCATCTGAGTGCCATGAAGTACACACTGCAGTTAAAGCAGGGAGTCCTGATTCCCACCAAGGCATGAACAATTTCTTCCCTTTAAAAATATAAACAGAATAATCTTCACCTGGGTTAGTGTACCTGCCAGAGAATAAGTAACATCTAGACACACTCCAGCTTTCTGATGTCCTAAAACAATAATTTTGTAAAATGCTAATAAAGCAATTATGGTAAATTTGTACAAATATCATAAATCACTTGAAATCTAGAACAAATGGAAAAGTCCTCTTTCTAAAGGGCAAGTAATGCATTTCCTCCACTAGAGGATGATGGCCTGGATTTAAATCCCAGTCCCACCATTTGCTAGCAATGTGATTTAGGGTAAGTAACCTACCTGTCCTCGGTTCATCATGTGTAAAATAGAGATAACAATAGTACTGCCTCATTGGGTTGGTGTGAAAGAATATTTGTAAAGCACTTAGAATGGAGACTAAACATTTCAAGCATCCAAACAATGTTATCTGCAGCAGTTTCATAGTAATACTTACTTAAAATAATCAACACTTTAGAGTTTACAAAGACCCTATAGACCTTAATGTATTTGATACTCAAAAAATAGTCTAAAGCAATTTACTAAGCAATTTATCCAAAATTACATAATGTAAAATTATAAAATAAATGAGCTATAAAGGACAATTAGTACTAACATTTTCAATCTAATAAAAAGAATTAAAATATTATAGTAAAAGTTTGGCAAAGAACAACATATTCTTGGGCAAAAAACTATCAACAATCAACAAAATAGATAGTAGAATAATAAAATATGTATAGTCTACCACTTGCTATGATAACTGTGAAATGAAAATGGGGCTATGGCTAACCCTGGTATAAAACATGATGAGGCATTTCAAAAGAATATTAAGGACTTTTGTAATATAACTCATATGTAAGAGAGTACTTTGTGTTCTAACAGAAAGAGTACTTGGAAAAACAAATTGCAGCCCAGCCAGCATGGCTCAGCGGTTGAGCATCAACCTATGATCCAGGAGATCGTGGTTCGATTCCCAGTCAGGGCACATGCCCAGATTGCAGCCTCGATCTCCAGTAAGGGGCGTGCAGGAGGCAGCAGATCGGTGACTCTCTCATCATTGATGTTTCTATCTCTCTCTCTCCCTCTTGCTTCCTCTCTCTGAAATCAGTAAAAAAAAAAAATATATATATATATATATATATATATGTATGTATGTATGTATGTGTATATATATATACATAAACAAATTGTAAGGCTATATTCTATTCATATTGTATATAATTACCCAGATTCCCAATCAATTTGATATCCTATTTATTTATTTATCTTTAATTAATTTTAGAGAGGGAGGAAAGGAGAGAGAAAAACATCAACATGAGAAATACATTGAACAGATGCCTCACATATGTGCCCCGACTAGACTGGGATCCAACCCACAACCCTTGGGTGCAGAGGATAATGCTCCAACTAACAGAGCCACACTGGCCAGGGCAATCAATTTGATATTTTAAATATATTTGCACTTATTTAATTTTTTCTTTCCTGTTCTCATGTTTGATTTTTTTCTATATGTATCTGGTTCCTAAGGTCTATCTTTTCTATTCACCTTGTGATATTTTCCATCAGAATTTCCTAATTTGGCATACATTTTCCCAGCATATCTGAAAAATGCAAATCACACTTATCCCACATGTATTTACTTCAAAGAGTAAATCCATACCATTTTACCTTTTTATTCCATCAGAAAGCATAGTATATTCATGATATATTCACTTTAATAGTCACATAAAATGGTGAGAATCTATGTGAAATTCTCTATCCTAGCTACAAAGATTTTGTATCATTTCATACCAATATTTTTAAGGACCACTGGATAAACACTTTGGTAACACACTACAACAGTCAATTTTCAAGTTTAAAAAAATTCACTTGAATCAAGTACCATTAAATAATTTAAAATAAAATTTAGCATCATAATACTGTAATAGTATAGAAATTTTAAAAAGAAAAGCAGAAATAAGAATAAAAATCCTACTCAAATTTCCACCACTCAAATTAACTGCTACCCTTTTAAAATGTATTCATTTCTAAATACTTTCCCCAACTCTACAGATTATTTTATTATTCTCTTATCAGGATGTTTCACAGAGCAAATTTAAAAAAAAATGATAAAATTAACTTTATCACATTTTTCTTTTAAAGACTGTGTTTTTGGTTTCAAGTCTAAGAACTGCTTACCTAGTCCTAGATCTCAATGGTTTCCTTTGATTTTTTTTTCCCCTAAAAGTTTTATAGATTGAAGTTTTTCCTTTAACTCCTTGACCTATTTTGATATGAGGTGTGAAATTTAGGTAGAGGCTTATTTGTGTGTGTGTGCTTGTGTGTGTGAGAGAGTCTGTGTGCTTGGATGCCCAATTGCTCCAGTTAATATATTGAAAAGGCTTTGTTTTTCCATCAAATTAGTTTTACACCTTTGTCAAAATTCAGCTGGACATGTTGCATGAACCAATTCTTAGGTTTTCAGTTCTGTTTCATTGATCTATGTGTCAACGCCAAATAGTCTTGATTACTGTAGCTAAGTGAGTCTCAAAATCAGGTAACTGATTCCTTCCACTTTATTGTTTTTCAAAGTATTTTTTTAGCCATTCTACTTTCTTTACCTTTCCACAAAAAGTTTGCAATAGTCTTGTCTGTATCTCCAGAAAATTTTGCATGACTTTTATAGAAACTGCACTAAATCTGAATATATAAGTTTGGAAAGAATTGCGATCTTTATATTGCTGAGTTAACTCATAAAAATGCTGTTTTTCATTTTATTCAGATATTCTTATATTTTTTCATCAGGGTATTATAGTATTCAGTGTACAATTTACATGTATGTTTTAGATTTACTTAAGTATTTCATTTTGTGAGTGACTATAAATGATATTATATTTTAATATTGGTGTCCATGTATTCATTGCTATTATACAGAAATGTTATTGGTTTTTGTATTTTTACCTGATATCTGTGGCCTTGCTAAACTCACTTTTTATTTCTAACAGATTTTTTGGTAGAGTCTTTGGGATAATTTTATTGGCAGAG